CAGATTTTCTAACTTCAGCGATTTGAGCATCAAGCACGTCGAACGCTCAGATCGTTCAAATCGTTCAAATCACGCTGCTCTAATCGCTGCACAGCACTTCCCGACGCTGATTGAAGCGCGTCCACCATAGACTTTGTATGTAAACCTGAGGCTCCTGATGCTGAAATCGCGTTTGGTGTGAACGCAGTATTAGAGAATTGATATAGTATCTGGAAATGAAATATTATATTTCAGTGTATTGATATTTTCTTACACCCCTATAGATCAGGGGTTCTCAAAGTTTTTGGGTCTGGGGATCCCTTACAATGGTGAAAATTTTCCAGGGACCCCCTCATAAACCCCATGCTATTTTAAAAATCATTTATTGTAATTTTAACCCCGAAATACTATGGGAATATTATTTATTGTTTGGTTAGGTATGTTTGTTTTACTAGTGCAGGGGTGTGCAACCAGCGGCTCTGGGACCACATGTGGCTCTTTGGTCCCTCTGCAGTGGCTCTTTGAAAATGTGGCCAAACATAACAGAAAACATATATATTTTTTGTTTTTTTATACTCACAACAGAAATACATTTGTATGCAAATATATGATTAATACTAATAACAAAAGTAAAGCATGTTAGCTCATGCTAGCCTGTTGTTTACTTAATAATCCAACTTCTTTCTATGATCTTTCTCTCAAATCCATCAGAATTACCTTTAAAGAATTTGAAAACTACATAATAATAAGGATTAGAAAAAATATGCCTGAATAGTTCAGTTATACTAGTTTTTATGAAATTCAGTAAAAACTATATACAGTATTTTTCTTGTTTACATGATTATGGTCTTTTTCATTTGTCCTGATATGCAAAATAATAATACATAATAAAATTCACAATTGATTCTTTTAGTTTTATAATGTCACCTCTACTGGCCATAAAGGTTTCTGAAAAGGCCTGGAAAAGGCCCACGACCCACTAGTTGATAATCATAGTTGTAGCTTGTTTTGCGGCTCTGAACACATTAGTAGCAGAAATGGCTCTTTTGATCATAAAGTTTGCAGACCCCTGTACTAGTGCGTTGTTCATCGTATTCATTTTTTAAATATAAAACCCAAATTAACAATTTATTGGAATTTATGAGGACCCCCAAGATGGGGCTCAACTGGGGCTCCTGGGACCCCAGTTTGTGAACCTCTGCTATAGATTATTTGCCAGAATTTGAGCTAATTGGAGGCACACCTCACACACAGTTTCAAACACCAAGGAAACATTCTGCCATCGTACCTCTCTGAAAGGAGACTGGTTTTGTGTTCCCAAGATGAAGTGGTTTTTCTGTGAAATGCGTTCAACTCCAAATCAAAAGCAAAAGACCTGATGAGGCTGCTGGCTGAAGTTGGTAAAATACCATCATCCAGTTTATAGTGAAACGAGTCCTGTATGAGATGGAAGCTCACATTAGTAATTATTGGCTAAACAAGCAAATACATGACCAATATTTTATTGTTTAATAATTGAGCACATATTGTATGACCCTAATTAGAAACAAGGACAGAATCAAATCGATGGAGGATTTTACTTTATAGCAGGAAACAGACATTTAATTATAAAACATGATTTATTTTATGTTAATCTGAATCAGTTTAATGTATTTTGTAAATATATTTGAGAATTTTGTAGGAATGAACATGTTTGCCATGTTTATTCAAAAGAAACCTGTTTCACATTTTTAATATGTTTCAAAGAAAATATTATCAGTAAAATCCTTAAATCATGCTTTGTTTCTAACAATTATTGTTTTTGTAACACTTCAGAAGTGTTCACTCTAACTCTTTTAGATATTAAAAAAAATCTGCTAAAAAATGCAACTGTCAAAAAAAACTTCCTCTGTCACTGTAAATTTATTTACCACATTTTAAAGACCTTTTCTAATCTGGACTCTAAAGGGTTAATGCTCCTGCACATGTGATAGAGACACAGCAGGGGAGTGAGCTGAGCAGTATCGCCTCCACTGCACTAGAGTCCAGTGGCAGTGTGCTTTACGACACTGCATCCGGTGCTTTGCATTGCACTTGGTGATGTGTGGCTTGGATGCAGCTGCTCGACCATGGAAACCCATTCCATGAACTGTTCTTGAGCTAATCTGAAGGCCACATGAAGTCTGCAGGTCTGTAGAGATTGACTCTGCAGAAAGTTAGCCACCTCTTCGCACAATGAACTTAAGCATCCACTGATCCCGCTCCGTCACTTTACATGGCCTGGCACTTCGTGGCTGATTTGCTGTCGTTCTCAAACACTTTTGTTTTGTTATAATTCAGCTGACAGTTGACTGTGGAATATTTAGGAGTGAAGAAATTTCACAACTGGATTTATTGCATAGCTAGCATCCTATCACAGTTCCAGGCTGGAATTCACTGAGCTCCTGAAAGCGACGTATTCGTTCCACATAAACAAGTATTTTCATTAAAAAACATAAAGAAAAACATTACAAACATTTTACAAATGTTGGTAAAAACAATCTGCATGCCTAGATGCTTAATTTTATGCAAATACTTTTGTCAGTAAAGTGTATGTCGCACTGTTCAGCCCTTTTCTCTGCAGGCTATTTGTTGATGCAGAACAAAACAAAAAGCCAGACAAACTAGGTAACAATGTTATAAACTTTTTCCAAAGTAAAATTAGAAATGATCCCACTCTGAGACAATGTATCATTTAGAGGGATTTCCATCTGTTATTGAAATCTCACTTAGAACAAAAAAGTCCCATATTCATACTAGTAGCCTATAGAACAAAAACTACAAATGATAAAAGGCTATGGCTGATTTTATTAAATGAAGGAGTTAAATTTACCACACATCTATTAGGTAATTTAGTTATTTTTTCCTCACCTTGGAAATTTCTCCTATATTATTAAGAAAAAAAACTTTTTTCCAGCCAAGTGGCCTACCTTAAAGTAATTGGAATTCCACCTACATTCCTTAGCAAAAAGCAAGTATTTTAGTAATGAGAAAAAACAGAAAGAGAAGTAGAGACTTCAAAAAGTCCATCATTTTAATTYTGGGCAAACAGACTGGCTTGAATACTCTAAGACACTAATAGATTTTGAGTGGTATTATCTGATTGTAGGCCAAAACAATTTGAATAGACCATGAATGAACTGTCTAAATGCCAAAAACAAAAAGTTTCTGGTAAAAAGTTTGAGTGGTCGGTATAACACTTTTTTCTACCAGCCACTGTGGTTGGTGGGAAAATTGTTTAATTTCCACCCCTGAGTTCAATAGAAAATTAGGAATGCGCTGATTATTTCATCGTTTACAGTTCATAAATATCATGAAGACTTGAAGTATCTGCAGTAATCTCTAGGCATTTACGCACTGCAGGACCGGCCCGACTTCTAACCCGGGTTCGGCGGTTGTGCAGAAGCATAGTAGGGCCGGATCCAGCCCGAGTTCTGGAACCTGGCCAGGCGAGGTTCCAATCGGGCCGGCCGGATTTGACGACTTATTTGTTTTGCTCTGACGAGTCAAAACGAGTCTGGCAAGTCATTAAAAAACACAGATCTATGAAAAAGCAACTGCTTTCATAACGGTAGCATGTAACAAGCTAATATTGCTAGCTTACTCGTCGATGCCGTCTGCGTCTCGCTTCTGTTACTGTTGTATGGCCAAGTACAGCCTTCGGAAACTCCGCTCTTCTGCGCGTCACCATTTGTCATCTCACTCGACGTTTAAGGACCGTTATGCGCGCTTCTCCGGCAAACAGTTCCCACCCACTTCGAGGCGGCTCTGATGACAATGCAAAACATCCAGGGCTGGGCAGGGACGGACCTAGGCCATCTGGGGGCCGGGGCCGGCCCTGCAGTGCGTAAACGCCTTTTATGCACTAAGGGCCCGGCTGCTGTAGTTCTTGTGATCTTCAGGCCTTCAGGGGTTGCTGCATTAAAAACAGGTGATTCAGTTTGAACGTCACAAACCATTGTCTATAAACACAGTTCACTCTTCCATCTACAAATGCTGGTTAAAGCTCTATCATGCAACAAAGAAGCCATGTGTGAGCAGCACCCAGACACGTCATCATTGTCTTTGGGCCAAAGGTCTTTTAAAATGAACTGAGGTCAATTAGAAAACTGTTCTGTGGTCAGACAAATTCAAACTTTAAAGAAAAAACAAACAAGAATGCCACAGCCTCCATACTAAAGAGGGGGACCATTCATTGTTTGTGTCAGCACTCAGTTCAAAAACTTACTTCTTTGATGTTATGGACGTGCATTAGGTTAGCATAGGCAGTTTACACATCTACAAATGCTC